TGAGATTTGAACCAGTGTTTTATGGTCAGAAAGCGAACGTTCTAACCACTCGGCCACGCGCCCATACTTCGGTGGATAGCGTCACGGACTGAGGAATCGGAGAGCCGAGTTCGAATTCCAGTCGAATCCATTACGTTCACTTACGTGCTAATGCTCTTGGGAAAGATATGAATCCTCTTCTCCCACCCAACCCCCCGCTCCAGCTGTGGGTAAATAGCACAATAGATCGGGTTCTATAGCCTTGGCTGGCACTGGCCTACCGCAGAAAGAAATGGCTACTACGGAAAAAATCTGCCTCGTCAGTCATGTATCGAAAGATGCATGATCGCCTAAGCGTGTAGCACGCATGGCACGTATACACACACACACACACACACACACACACACACACACGTGTTTGAGTAACGTTTGTTTTGCAGGGAGGTGCGTAAACAGAATGAATTAAATCTACCAATCTATGGATTTGAGGGAAATTGTCCCGCTCTGGCAGTTTTTGAATCTGTGTTCCCTTTTCTAATGAAACCGCCGTCTGATCTCGCATGCTTTAGACAACTAAACAACAACGTTCAGTTAAGGTTGTCGTTACCGTGGCTGTTTTTTATACAATTATTTAATATATTTTCTGTTTATATACAGTGTAACCCGGATATAAGAGAGATTTTCTCTGGTCCCAAATTAGAGCCTGTGTTAATGTATATAAAATAAATCAAACCCGGATATAAGAGAAACCCGGATATAAGAGACTTCTTCTCCGGTCCCGACAACTCTCTTATATCCGGGTTACACTGTATTATGAAATGGACAAAGTCCGACAATTATTTTAAGACATTTTTATGTTTATACATTCTTTTTTATAGATACAAATATTTAAGTAAATGCTCTGTTTATAATAAACAGTATTAAATATGTCGGAGGACTAATATTTTCTGTGAAAATTTCTCGGACATTCGGAGCATTTACTAAAATATTTGTATCGATAGAAAGAATGTATAAACATAAAAATAATCTTAAAATAATTGTCGGATTTTGCCCATTTCATAATGCGTGACGTCATATATATATATATATATCTTTTTTTCTATCGTGGAGATTTTTGCCGTTTAAGTAGGGTCCAAATAGCATGATGAGAAGCCACGTATACTTTCTTAATATGTATATATAGAAAAAGTTTCAAATTAAAAAATAATAATGTTTTATTTTATGAAAGTATTTATTTATTTATATATATATTTGATATTTCAAATTGTCCTCAATTTTTCATCAGAAATAACTGTTACAAATAAATTAAAATTACTGTTTGTTAGCAAGTAGCGTCCTTATATATATATATATATATATATATATATATATATATATATATATATATATATATATAGTGTGTGTGTATTTAGACAGCATTTTTTCATTAATGCATGTTTCGTTAAATAATATAGACAGGTTTTGTCTATTTTTTTCAAGTAAATTAAACTGTTTATAAACAGTAATTCGGACTTTGCTAACCAGACGCTTCTTTGTGGCTGAATGGTAACAGCCCGTTAGATCAAATGACGGTTCCCATGAAGGTTACGGGTTCGATTCGTGTCGAAATGTTCGAGAATTTTTTACGAAATTTCTCGAACATTCTATAATTAATACTCTTTAATTAAAAAGACAGAGCTTTAATTAAATAAATTATATCTATAAAAATAACGTATAAACAGAAAATATATTAAATAATTGTCGGACTTAATCAATTCTATAAATGATCGATTTTTCTCGATCGATCATTTCTGCTCACGAAACATTTTAACATAAAATATAAACAAAATACAAAATATATTAAATAATTGTCGGACTTAATCCATTTCATGTCTTATCATTGTTTACGTTAAGATAAACGGTAAACGTAATTAATACTGTTTAATTAAAAAAAAACACGGCATTTACTTAAATTATATCTTTTAAAAATAACGTATAAACTGAAAATATATATTTTATATATATATATATATATATATATATATATTATATTGAGGTATTACATCGGTGATCACCTTTTCGTCTTTTTTCCCCACCTTTGAAAATACCAGGTGATTAATTTCTGTGAAAATTCCTGCGATTAAAAATTATTATTCTGCATAATTCTATTAGGACTCTTGTTTTCATCTTGGTTGCTGGAGTCACAATCTTTCGATTATTGTACTCACCAGAGTAACGTCCAAATGTTTATTGTGCTCCGTTAACCTTATAGCGATTTCGAACTGAACTATTTTTATGTCGTAATTTATGTACAATGTCCACGTCTCGTATTCTTGTGTACCAAATACAAATGCTGGCAGGATTAAATTATTTCCTTCAATGATCCCACACCCCATCCCCACCCGTCACAGTGTTTATTTGGTACGGCACATTTATTATTTTTGAATTTTCTTCACGGCGCGCTTATTTTATGCAACGTTTATTAGAATTATATAAACAATTCCCGGAACGTTTATTTGAACCGGTACGCTTATTTTAAAAATTCCCACCAGCATTACTATTGACGATGGCACGTATATTTGAAAAAAAGAGTATCGCTTAATTCTTGTTAGTTTCTCGTGATAATTCTGCTTTGTTTCTCTTTATTTTGATTTACCAAACGGAAGTATTAGACTTTGTTTGATTGAACTCCTGATAACGACCTTAATTGATATATTTTACTGCTGCTTTCATCTGCTACAGCACTGCCATACAGGAGACTTTCTGGGTTAAGCAGTGCACTCTGGTTTAGTTGGAAAACGCAAAGTGGCATCACAAGACCGAATTAAGAACTAAACACTTACGTTAAGAATCGGGAAGAAACAACTGAAATTCTTTGGATACATAATGGGGGAGGAGGACTCCAGAAGCTTAACTATCACGATGCATATTGAAGAGGAAGGAAGCGAGACACTTACCTGACGAGCCGGTGTGAACGGATGACGGAGAGGGAGCAAAAGAAGAAAAACATTTGAGAACCACAAGGGATAGGAAATTTTGGAGTGCCATGATCACCCATGTCCTAAAGGGACGCGGTACAGAAGAAGAATACTAGTTACGTCCTTTAGCATGTTCTACGGCATTAAAACAATTTCTCCCGTTGACTGAATAGTTTCTCCAGAAGTTTAACAAATGTGAGAGATATCTGAAGATGGCCGTAGAATAAAACTGCTGAATGCGGCAAAAACCCAAATATTTAGGCACAAATCTGAATCACTCGGTGTATAATAATTGACTAGCCCGGATCTGTAAACGTATCGTTGTTTGTAATATTAAACATTGATTTTTCTGCTAGATATCATTACATATGTCCTTGTCTAAATTCCTTGAATTTTCTCTGAATCTTTAAAATCTTGCAGAAATGCCAAAAATAGACTTTTCTGTCGCCATCTAAAATCTTTTTAAAAATATATCGGTAAAAAAATTGATTCTTTTGAAAAATTGCTGAATTTGGATCCACACGCGTGAAAAAGAAAACATTTGATTCAATCGATAGCATACTTTTGATGCACAAGAAAAAAAATCTAGTTTTCTTTAATTCAAGATTAATTTTGGAAAATGCCCAGCTTTACTAAAAATTGTTTACGTTTCGTCTTTAATTTCAAACAGTTTGCTTGTTTGTTTATTTATTAAATTTTCCCGTCCCCCCGAACTTGTTAAAACCACCCCGTTTATTAATATGGCAGTTTTTCACCTTTTAAATGATTTTCCGACCCGTTTATTGCATATTAAGAAAAATTCGACCCCCGCAATCATTAAGAGCCCATTTATATGAAGCATCTAAGAGTACTTCCTTAAAGGAAAATTTAATATTTGTTTAATTTCATTACCTAAAGCATTTTCATTATTAATTTTCTACTACTTTTTCTTTCATTTTATTTTTGTTTTTATTATAACTCTCAGATTGTTTTAATTTTTACGATTGTTTTGATATTTAAAAAAAAAAATGTGATTTGCTTGTTTGTCAGATAATTTCATGGATGCGATATTTAATATATGCACTTAGCTACTGGGTTAAACTTGACATTTATTAGGCTAGAGCGAGTTCAATTCTCATTGGTTGAATCTCGGAGTTCGAATATGAGCTAGATCGATTCTCATTGGTTGAAAATGGGAGTTCGAATATGAGCAAGTTCGATTCCCATTGGTTCAATCTATTCGAAAAAGTTTAGACAATGTTTATGTATCACGTTTCTCATTCAGGCTGACATTTTTAACATAATATTTGATATTTATTTCTAGGTACCCTCAAACTTCATGACGTGGGTGATTATGAATCTCCACAATTTCCTGTCCTTTATAGCCATAAGTAAATTTTCTTTTTGTTACCTCCCCTAATATCTGTACTGCAAACCATTTGCATGAGCTCGTTAGGTAGTTTATGCACCGCTTTCCTCTCTCTCCTTCATAATGTCCTGTGAGTGTCAAATTATCCAAACCTTCTTTCCCCATTACATTTCCTAGAAATTTCAACTGTCTCTTTCTGATGTTAATATAAGTTTTTTTTTGTTTCACTTTTCATGCAAACTTCATCATTACATGCTCTGTCCACTGTATTCTCTTCATCCTTTTGTAGAAACACATTTCTGTTACCTCATGGCTCTTTTTCATTTGTGAAGAGATTGTCCAGCATCATGAGCGAGCTTAAATGCCGGCCGATAAGACGGCTTTTAAGATACTTTTAAATATGTTTGCTTTTTTAACCTCCTGTCTTCCTTTCAAAGCACAACTTTAAAGTAGCCAACTAAGAGGCCAAAGCTAATTTTCAAGACACATGGATCCGGATGGTTCAAATCGTTGTTGATAGAAAGAAGTCGAGTTCGGGTTCAATTACAATACACAAATTGATCTTTTGCTGTTCGTCATCTCCTAATGTGCGACATGAAGTTGATGATTAAGGAAAGGAAGACAATCGCTTTTTATTTGGTGACACTTTTTCGATCGGTCTCTGTTTGACGGAAGTGACAAACCGGTGTTGTCAAAATCAATTAGGATGACTGCAAATGGTAATTGAACAGGTGGGAAGGTCGAAACCAAGGTGAGAATGAAGATCATTTATATTTTTCTGGCGTTTAGTTTCTCATCTTGTTTTTGTTTTGCTATCTATTATGTTTTATTTGCTTATATATTGTTTCAAAACAAGAATACGCGATACACATTTATATATAATTTACTTAGACTAAACGAGGCCGTTAAGAAATAACAATTGGTATAGTACAATTTTGAAAACGGAGAAAATTTGTTTTCAAATTCAACCATTGAAATCCTGGCTTTATCATAGTTACTTCCTACCAATGCGAACCCATCTATTTTAGCAACAATCAGATCTGTAGATCGTTACCAGCTTAGTCTTATTAGCACATTATTGTAAACCGTAAAATCCAATATTATTTCTAAAAATAAAAATGAAATTCCGGTATTAATTGTATTTTTTTAATTCAGTATAAATTATGTTTCTATCTAAAAAAAAAAATATATATATATATTGATGCTAACTGTATCATTGTCGGACGCTGAGTATCTATAGTTACTTGCATATTTTCAATATTTAACTTTTATAAAATACACTGAAACACATTCTGTTTCAGTGTATATCCCAACTAGCACGGGACATTTTTGCAACGTTGCAGATATGAGGTCCATTCCAGAAGTTTGGAGTCCTTTTTTTAGGAGAGACAGTTATAACTGTCTTAGATTATTGTAATATTAGTATATATATCTAATAAGCTGACCTACCAATTTTGATTATCCCAAATTGAAGGAGACGGCTGTAACATCTCTTTGAACATACCCTACTAAACACTGCTTGTCACGGCTGACTAGTTGGTAGAATACAGTCGGGACTGTAATCTAGACGATATAGAAGCTCGCTATACGAGTTCTGTGTTAAACTGGGCAAAAACGTTACAGAAACCAGTGAAATACTCCAGACTGCTTATGGGTTAATTTGTATGAGCCAAATATGTTTTTCGCTGATATAAAACATTCATGGACTGTAATAAGGAAATGAGACAATGAAAGATGTGGCAAGGAAAGGAACATCATAATATCAGAATTGGTTGAGGAACTTCGTCTTTTCTATATTAATTGACCTTCGCTTGGAACTCAGATTCAGATCGAGAAATCGGAAAACCGAGTTCAAATTACTGTCTGTTTCGTAACATTCACTTACGCGCAAATACCCTACAGATTAAAGTATAAATCCATCTCCTCTCCCAGCTATGGGCTGAATGGTAGGACGTGTATCTGCAGACATTGTTACTTTCAAAAGATTGCTGATCCAAAATATTTTTCAACTTCAAATAACCAACAGTGTTGATAAACCGTAAAAAAAGCACATCTATCGATTGCGTAAAACTTAAGGGCCAGATATTGATTACATTGAAAATTGTCGACTGTACGAAGCGATATAGAAAATATTTCGACTCGGTCAACTTTCCTAAAATCAAACCAAATATCTGGATTCGTTTCAGAGCTGATGTGATTGCTTGTTTGCTTGCAGTAGCAGTAATCAGTGTTCGAATCGAAGTTAAAACAAGAATTTCAGATGTTATTTTTTCAAAGCAGTACAATCTTCCTAGACTTTATTTTATTCCGATTTGATTTTGTTCAGGATTAGGTTAATTATAAAAGGTCTTAGCGAGAAACATCCTTCTTGGAACTTGATGCTACAGAATCATAAAGAACTTTGCCACTTAAGAGAAACCTCATCACTTGGGAACTTCCAGCGACCGCAACAAATAAAATGAATTGCACATAGAACTCGAAGAGAAAATAACAATGAAGATGTTGACTATTTACATTACTTGGACTGTTATCCTCATCTTCATTGCCATATTCACAACGTTTCGGCCGTTGTATGCTCCGGCCTTCTTCAGGTGATGGGAATTTCGAACCGAAATCTTTTTTTTTCTACACCGGTGGACGAAATAAAGGGATCGGTTTGAAATTCTAATGACCTGAAGAAAGCCGAAGCGTACAACGGCCGAAACGTTGTAAATATGGTAATAAAGATGAGGATAACAGTCCGAATAATGTAAATAATCATAATATCTCATCTCAGAGATATAGATGGATATAGAAGATGTTGACATTCCACACGACAAAAATGTTAAGAAGGATACACTCATCAGTACTGGAAAGAGTAATAGCAGTTACTGAACTTGAGAAAGCTATTCTCTTGAAGAAAAAACAAAACAAAAATTTTATAAATTTAAAAGTCCTGACTGCTCAATCAATGAATGCCGAATTTTGTCGCCATATATGGAAACTGATAATATTAACATTGACAGATTATTTCTGTCTGAAAATTAACCGTACTGGAAAGAGAGATATCTAATATATCTTGAGTGTATAACTAATAAGAGAGTTGTGGCTGTTTCACCATGACAATGCCCTTGCTCACAATGCCCTGCGAATCCGGCATTCCTAGCAGAGAAGAACGTGGCCGTATTGAAACAATCTCCCTCTTCACCTGATCTTGCTTCTTGTGAAATTTTAATTTTGCTCATGCTCAAAGGGACGTTTTTAAAGGCATGGAGGCCATCAAGAGGATCGTAATGACGGAGAATACCTGTATCCAAGAAGAATCCTACTAGCAGTTCATGGAAAAGTGCACTTTTAGACTCGAGATGGACTCCTTTGAAGGGGAAACCATGTAGTTTGTTGTTTGCAATTGAAGTGACATCAGTCCCGTTACTTTTCAGACACTCCCTCGCGCGTGTATATATATATATATATATATATATATATATATATATATACACATACAGAGAGAGAGACACACACACACAAGTATGTAAATTACAATAACTAAAATACTATTCTTAAGAGTGCTCAGTACAGAGTAGAGCAAATATAATTTATTCAAAAATTATAACATAAATATGTTATAAAGGTCACTACAAAAATAGCCATTTTGTTTCAACACTTCTGGTGTCTTATTACTATAAGACACCAGAAGTGTTGAAAGAACTGTCTATTTTTATAGTGATTTTTTAACATGTTTATGTTATAATTTTCGAATAAATTATATCTATCTATCTCCATCTCCGTCTATATCCATCTCCATCTCCGTCTATATCCATCTCCGTCTATATCCATCTCCATCTATATCCATCTCCATCTATATCCATCTCCATCTCCATCTATATCCATCTCCATCTATATCCATCTCCATCTATATCCATCTCCATCTCCATCTATATCTATCTCCATCTCCATCTATATCTATCTCCATCTATATCTATCTCCATCTCCATCTATCTCCATCTCCATCCATCTCCATCTATCTCCATCTCCATCTATCTCCATCTCCATCTCCATCTATATCCATCTCCATCTATCTCTATCTCCATCTATCTCTATATCCATCTCCATCTATCTCTATATCCATCTCCATCTATCTCTATATCCATCTCCATCTATCTCTATCTCCATCTATATCCATCTCCATCTCCATCTATATCCATCTCCATCTCCATCCATCTCTATCTATCTCCATCTCCATCTATCTCCATCTCCATCTATCTCCATCTCCATCTATCTCCATCTCCATCTATCTCCATCTCCATCTATCTCCATCTCTATCTATCTCCATCTATATCTATATGTATATATACATACATATACACACACACACACACACAAGAGAGAGATTCTCCTGAGAGACTATTTTGATAAAAGATTGATATATTGACTTATTGCTTCTTGATCAAGTTCTAATTTGACAATGGTCATTACTCTTTGCCCGGCCTATAAGAAAAGAAACTTTCCAATCTTTAACATCGATAACTAATACTTTGATGGCACCTTTATTTCCTAGTAGTACTTACATTTAAGGTTTTTTTTTTGTTTTTTTTTATGCGTCGTAATTCTTAAGTTTATAAATGAATAAACTTCTTGCAAGTTCCGCGACTGCAAAATATCTGTAGAGAATCTTTTGTTCCATTTGAGCTTAACAACTTTAACACAACATTGCAATAACAACCATCAATACGAATAAAGATCAATATTTAAAGAAGTAATAGGGTACAAATAAAAAAAGAATAATAATTAACAAGATTTTCTATTAAAACAGAAACTAAAAACTTAAACTAAAACAGAATTAAACGCATGAGAGCGTTATAGTCTCCTCTTCCCTGATTTTTTTTTTCATACTTTCCTACCATTTTCTATAGAATTTCTTCATAACCAAATCAAAATGGCCCATTATTTATTTAAGGCAATGTCAGCGTAATGCACATGCCAACTTACTGAGGATCAAGAGTTATAATATTTTTTTCTTAATCCACTCTTTAAACATCTGGAGTTAGTGTTTGACATTTCGTTGAGACTATCACCATAGTATGTGTCTCCAAGCCTATTTTTTTCATACCTGTTTTCGTTTTTGACTTATGTGGAACCGTTTAATTCAAGAGACATTATCCTGCTCCTCGTATTTAACCGACTTTTAAAAATAAGATCGTTACCAACCGTTTCATCCCACAAACTAATCCACACCCAAACACCGACACAATTTGCACAGGCTTGCTGTAATGGGTTGGTGAGCTGAAGCTGTCAATCATTCGTTATCATAGCGCTGCCTTTTGCCAAAACATTTTGTTATGGAGGAGCTTTAGGTGAAAGTTCCCACCCACACCAGGATGCGCACCCAAATCCCAATCGACCCAACACTATTCGCCCATAGCGACGTTTCTCGATGAACACTATCCATCATAAACTGGCGAATTACCATTAGGGATAGTGGAGATGGTGACTGCAAACGACTGGAAGTGGCAGTTTGAAAAAGTTGGAATAGACAAAGTCGTGGTGTTGACTATGGCTGCCAACAAATATTCAAAATGAAGGACAAGACTTACTCATTTTATGTCTTCGCTTGCGTTCTCTTAATCTTCCATTCTGCTTTTAACCAATACCGTGAAATGACAAAGAAGGCTGATGATCTAATTTTTGAGTTTGAATGCATAGGTCGAGGTTTGTAATACTCTTTATTTCATAGTGAAAATAAAAATGTATTTTCGTTTTTTAACAGATTATTACTCCAAAGTTAATTTTATGTACACAAAGACTGGCGCCATCATATTAAAACGTTTAGTCGCTTACTTATTTTAGTCCATCATTTTACTTAAAATTATTGCCACGTGACGCAAACAATAGTATATTGTTTGAAAAAAAAATAGTTGTAAATAATCAGCATTGACTTTTTATAGCCATCTTCCACTTATATTATTGCCAACCAAGACCGTTATTACATTTTTGTAAGCTTTTATCAATTGAGGAGGATTTTAATAAAAAAAAAGACTTTGTTCGTTTCATTGTACACAAAATTGGCAGCAAATTTTTCGTACTGAATTATTTAATGTTATCTTCATCATCAGATGAACACTCGCCAATAAAAAAAAAACGTGCACGAGAACCTGCAAAAACATTGCATTTTAAGGAGCAAAAATCAATTGAAATGTTGTAGGATATCGTAGCAGGTTGGGAATTAGCGGTAGACTGGTAAAGGGCAAAAGTTTTCTCTAAAGTCGACAAATTTGCATGTTAAATCTTACAAATAATTTTCATTTGTTTATAATTAATTTAAATTAATAATAAAGTTGCATCATTTAAAGTTCGTGATTTCTATTTAATGCTTTCAGCCTACTTTTATAAAGTTTAAAAACATTTAAGTAACACTATTCAATATACTGTTTCGATAAATTGTGAAATAAGTAGCGACGTAATCGTTTTAAGTACCGCGGTTAATGGAAATAAGTGGTGTGTGCAATTTCCTGCGTATTATTAATATTCTTATAAACATTTAGTTGTAGCTTTTTGTGTAGACGATATAATGGCGGATACAAGTGTTGAAATTATGGCGATTTTGAGGGATTATTTTGAACTGAATGCTCTCGGAATTCAGCAAGTGAAAGGAAATGAAACGGCACTTGACCATATTGGCAAATGGTTTAAGTGCTTTAAGGGAAATGACTTGTCTTTTGAACGAAAGACTGGAAGTGAACGATCATCATTTTTCAATTATGATTCTTTTAAAAATATCAGGTCGAGGATAACCCGGCCACTAGCAGATTCGAAAATTTTCAGAACAATAGTGTATTAGCAGTCTTCACATGTGTTCATGAAGGGCTTTGGAGTAAAACTAGACCTTAGCTGGGGATGCTAAATTCCTCACTTTTCAGCCTTGACAGAGTTCAAAATCGTTTACACAGTCGTGTAAGGGGAGATTTATTTTCCATCCTACAGCCTCTTTCTCCACAGACGCAACGTTGTAAGTTGATAGCTACTCTATAACTATTTTCGTTACAAATGGTCAGATGAGCTCTACTCTTTAATTCCACCAATTCAGACCTTCATAGCTCGAACGGACCATGCAATGTCAACGGAATAGAATCATTCGTACTCCCCCGTCCTGGGTAAGACGATAAACTACATCCAGCAGCATGGCTTCTGATCAGGTGGTTTTGAGGAGCGTCGAACCACCTCAATTGCTGGTGTTCCCAGATCCAACCTGACCCGGGGTGGTTGCACCTGTTAGGGTCTCGGCTATGGGCAAATAGTTAACCCCTGAACTGGGGTCAAAACACCATAAAAGTGTAAAAATAATTTTTAATACCAGCAATACATTTTTGTAATACATTATTATCAGCAATGAATTTCTGAAGAAAAAATTATTACCAGCAATACATTATTACGAGTAATACATTTAAAAAAAAATATTACCAGCAATTAAAATCTTTCCAGCATTAAATAACCCATTCAGAAAACAAACCAAACCCGCACCTCCCCGTATTCCAATTGTAAGGAGGAAGTTCCACTCAGTTTTTTTCTAGAAAATTGCTACTTCATGGAACAAACTCCTATGTGGATGCTTCCCTGAACACTATCTGTCCTCCTTATTGCTTTTTTTCACTTTAGCTTTCTTAGTCAGCCATCTTAACTTTTTTTATTTACTAATGAGATATTCTGTTGTGGTAACATGGGACATGTTCTCTTATTAGCATCGACTAATGCCTTGAGTTAATGGAATGTCATATCACCAAGTAAAGGAGATCAGGTTGCGTGAAAGATATCTATAAACTGATATTGTGTTTTCTATTATAGAATAAATGGCAAACGGATTTTGTTTAATTCGTATTTCTGTTTGTATTCACATAGTTCTTGTACATAATTTAAAATTTTGATCGATCTGGCTTTCTGTATCATCATGAAATATAACTTTCAAAAGTTGTGATATACAGTACTGAATTGTCAATACCTTTGGAAAAAGTTTTCATGACAATTTTGTCTTGCAATAATGAGGTATCAGATATAGTTAATACCATTAAAACAGTTCTGAAACTAAACTTTGAAAAGACGTATTTTCAATAATATATGTGTTGAGTTAAATAATCGTGGCCTACTTAAATTTCTTAAAAAAATGAGTTCTCTTCCATTATCCGTTTTTGCCTCTTAATGCAATCTTGACCAAAAATCTTTCCATGGCAGTTACTGAGTATTTTATTTTAGAAAATAAACAATAATAAGTCCTACAAATAAATTATCGCATATTTCGTTTCATTTATATAAATCGAATCTATTGGACATGACAATTTACAAAGTCCCAATTGAAGTCATCGGTTTGCCTTTTCATCGGCTCTTATTGCGACATTGGTACATTATTCCCGTTGTTATATACAAAGCAATTGATTCTTATTTACCAATGTCAAGCCTTTAACGACGTGTTATAATTGGAAATGCAAGTAAAATTGTTTTTTTTTATCAATTTCAGACAACTTTAAAAAAAGTTGTCAGATTTCATGAAATAGCAAATGACTAATCGGACATAATCATTTTTTATTATTATCGTATTTATGCTTATCAACAGAATTAACCAGCATAGCGGCATATAAGAAATATCAAGTCATAACAGTGAACATAATTAGTTTTTCGAATTTTATTCTTCTTCAAAACTCAATATTCCGTTCAAATTCTCATCTGGTTGCCACCGACTAAATACACAAGACGCCGTCACTGTCAGACAGGCTCTCAAGTATATGGTTTCAGATCTTGTCGTATGCTTTTTTTATTTCATATTTATGATGTCTATAGTAATTAAAACGTCCTGAAATGAGCAATAAAAACTGTAAGATGATGAAATATAAACTAATCAATACGAATAATGAAATCTGGTTGTTGTCTGAAATAGATTTCAGTTTTCATACGATTCAGTTACAGAATTTTTATGTTAAAATACATTTTTTGAAGTTGCATTGAAATACAAAAATAAAATAAAAACTCCTGGGTCCTTTTCGTTCTTTTTCATGCTCCCCTGTGCCATAGTGGCATTATCGCCTTGCTTGGGGTGAATTGGTTTTAAAAAAGGTGGAAAGATAAATAGCATGCAAGTTTACTTTAATAGTTACTTTTCCTACTAAAAACAAATCGCCTCTCGTTCAGTTAGTAAAATATTGATAATGCTAATCATTTTTTTATACTTCCTTGTTAGATTTAACATTTGATCAAAGCACCTAGCTGCCCTATTGCTACTTCCACCAAAAGTGCTCAGACGAACTACATTCCCTGGTCCTGATAATTCAAACCTTCACAGCAAGAACACGCCATGCCACT